TGCCTAGATTTACTAAAGAAAGGTATTAAAGTAACCCCACATAGCACCCTGAAATTTACCTGAACACCATTGGTTACTGCTACAGAACATAAGGGAGGAACCTCTGGAAACAGACTGATACTTTTGATATTCTTTCGTTCACAAACTTTGATAATGCCACTTTCTAAGCGACGGCCATGTTCTTCTAAGCATAGCAACATAGCATCTTGCTGCTGATCACCACTAGAATCAAGGACAGACCGAATAAGCGAATTTGGCACACACTGAATCATTTCCCCACGTGTTAAAATATTCCTTGCACCGACAGTGAGTTGGCCATTTCGGCAGCTAAGGAAAAAAGGCTTAATACTAGCAGTCGAGGAAGCAGCCACAACAATGTACTTATATTTGCTTAGAAAACCCAGACGATGTGCAACCGCCTTTGTCTTGACAATCACCTCACTAAGAGACAACAAGTAGACATTAACCCAACGGTTGTTGAAACAGTAGCCACCCATGATTCCCAATAAAAAGTGTGAATTGCCAGACAGCTTCTTGGCAACTAATTCTTGGCCGTCATGAAAGCGATAGAGAACCCTAGTGGGAAGATGCAATTTCACTTCTAAGAGGTTCTCTAATTGTTCAATATCAGATTCTGATGCCCCTCCTCGGAGGGTAGCCTCTGCCTTCGGAAAATTATTGCTCAACCAGCTCCTAATCCTGCCCCAACATCTTTTCACTCGCAGAACAAGTGGCCATGGGTACATAGCAAAAGCTTCTCTCCATAATTGATAAGCTACCTGGAAATACACAATCAGAGACCATTACAATAGGCAACCTAAAACACCAAATTGCATTCCCTGTGCAAAAATCTAATCTTTGATTCACCCAAATTATCCCCAAAAAAATTCAAGCAAAATGGAAATGAGAATAGTGAATACAAAAACAATAGAAAATGCTTCATTTTTTCAATTACCTTGAAAGAGGGAGCAGGGTTTCCATGAGGGTCTTGAGGGGATACGAGATCCAGATCATCAAGACAAAATTTGGACCAGAGAAGGTGACCAGAAGCAGAATCCCTAAGCCTTTTGCTGACACAGGAAACCTTCGCAGTATCTTTGGGACCTAGTTTCAAAAGAATTATGTGAAAAGCGAGGTCTTTTACCGCCTCCAACGCCATATCACTTCCTCAGTTCTCCTTCAGGATACTACTTCCTCCACTTATTCCACCGGAACGTCGTGTATTGTCTGGTAAGACGACAAAATTTCCAGTCTAGCTCCGGTGACCTGTGACTTGTCGCTTCCCCTCCCTCTTGTTCTGTGACGCTGGGCACTGGCTAGCGTAAAAGAGATGGCTTCTTTCGGATAATGATTGTTTCTGTACTAACTAAACAATTAAGGCAAGTCCTCGGCAGTAGCAATGATAAAGAACTTACTTTATATTAGAGATTTTAGGTCTGAAATCCGAGATGGTTGGGAGGAGTCTGAGAAACGAGGGCAAAACCCTACTTTTAACTCCTCAACTTGTTAAGTTCGAAGGTTTTGACCCTTTATTTTATAGTAGGACATTTTAAGCCCTTCACTTTATTAGATTTATAAATTTTAACTTCTCATCTTATATTATAACACTTTTAACCTCTTATTTATTAAAATTAAAAAAAAAACCTTCATTTTATAATATTTTATTAATTTTGTTAGCTAACTTTTAACTCTATTAGTTGACTATTAATTGATTGTTAACTATTAATAGAATTAATAAAACTAATTTTATAATATTTTGTTAATTATGTTAATTAGTTATTAGTTGATTGTTAGTTATTAGTTGATTGTTAGTTGATAAAAATTTATTTTCAACTAACAGAGTTAACAGTCAGTATAAAGTAAAGTTATTTTATTTTATTTTAATAGATAAAAAACTAAAATTTATAAATTTAATAAAATAAAAGATTAAAAATATTATAATATAAAATAAAAAATTAAAACTCTGAAATTTAATAAGATAGAAATTGAAAATAAGCTTTTGTCGAAAAATGAAAACACGAACATCATATTTTATTATTGTACAGCAAATCGTCTCAAAAAACATAAATAAATAAATAAATAAATAAGGAAGCAATATCCGTTCATTATTGCACCTGCCCTCGAGGCCTTACTGGGCATATGTCAGCCGGTGCATTCCCTCCCCCGAAACCGCCCCTTGCAAAAATATGTTCAAAAAAAAA